CGAGAGCTACGAGCAAAGCAAAACGAGTAAACAGCCTGCAACCTTACACTAAGCCTTTTCTATTAATTGCTTTCAGGATGCATGAATTATCACTGCAAGCTAGATATTGGTGAGGTAAAATTAACTCTCTCTTTTATAACCTCTTTCAACAGGCAGATTGGTTGGGCTGAACTGATTAGATCTGAACTTTTAATGAAAGAAATGTTATCTCTCAAAACAGCAATATCAGGTTAATTCTTAACTTTTTAACAAAGGCCATTAACATGTATTACCTAATTATCTATCGTACACAAAGGCAGCACTTTTTCTCCCTCTGGCCATTGTCATGAGTGAGTATTGTCCTAGTTAATAAAGTCATAAACCAAAACAAATCAAAATTGTTGTATATTGGGGGGGGAAAATTAGGAATGCTTTTTGGCCGTTCCTAAGCATAGCCCAAACACAATCCCCACGCTTATAACAAGCAGCTTGATTTCTACCTTTGTGCCATTGCATCCTGGAACACCCGGGCGCCCAGGAGGACCAACAGTTCCCGGCTCACCCTAAGAACAAGTGCAAGGATGACACAAGCTTTGTTTTTGCACATTCATATTCCCCTACAGCAACACTGAAACAGTTTATGCTGGAGCAGAATTTCACAAAGACTTGACAGATTACAATGTGTTCTTCAACCAATACAAGGAATAAGAACTACTGATGCCAAGATAGTTATCTTTAGGTTAACTGATAGAGACAATGATGCCATCGTTGACGCTACAGTGAGCACGTTTGGCTGAGGACATTCACATACTGAAGACTGTGTTAAGAGAGAAATTGGGTAAATCAGATTTCTTTTTACTTACTGGAAGACCTGGAGGTCCTGAAAATCCAGGTATTCCTGGGACTCCCTAATGATATAAAAAAAGAGGAGGAACATTACAAGTATTAGGGAAAAGCTCATGATGTAATATTTTTTGTTCTATTTGTGAGAAGGAATTTGAGTATGATTCTATGAAAAGATCATCATTTCATTACTTTATCTTCCTTAACCTGACTTTCTCTGAATGTGTACCAAGTGTAACGGTAGCTTATGAACTACTAAACATAGATAAATCCCCCCTGCCAAACAACCCCCTCTCAACAGCCCTTTATGAAATTCTAGTTTCACTCATTCACAGCACACACCAATATTAAATACATACAACATGGACCTTATATATAACGTGTAGCAAAAAAGGTGTAATTTCTAAAAGCTGGAGAATGCATGTGCACACTCAGTCATAAGTTTTAAAAATATACTAAAATCATATATAATGTATTGTTTTTATTTTTTAGAAATTATTGAATCAAGTTAGCATTTAATATGACATTAATGCATACATGTTTGTTTAAAATAGAAATACTTACTCGTATACCTTTAGATCCTGGTAAGCCCATAGGCCCTGGAGAACCCTAAACCACATGGAAAACAACTTATTTTAGTATAATTGACATATTGCACGCATACCAACATAACATGCACTAATTTTTAATAACAGTACCAACATGTGCACATACAACTATATAAATAAATATATCATTTGTGCACTATAGTCACTAAAACAAACAAGTGTTTAATACAATGTGCATAAATCCTGGCCTCTGGACCTCTCTTTCGGTATTTACAGGGAATATATATCTCATCACAGGTCAAAAAATAACAGTCAAGGTACGTTGAGAAGGCAGCTGCTATGGATCTGTTCAAACTGTAAGACCTGGAAATGATTCTCTGGGAGGAAATAGCTGGAAGCCTCACTGGTACTCAGGAGAGCTTTTCAGCTCCCAGGCACAATTGATGTCCGCATAGCGTCAGGTATATGCATACACCAGCTGCGCTCCCCTCCAGTGTTTGCACAGAAAGGAAATCCAGAGGCTGAAAGAGAGCTAAGCAGGATGGAAGAGCAGAGCTGCAAGGAAGACAGTGAAGCAGGTCAGGGCACAGTCTGAGCAGAAGCTAGATAGAATTGTTTCAAAATTTACAGCTTTATTGATAGTAAGGAGCAATTTTTATTTTACCCAGAAAGCAAACGGGAAACTGAACAGAACTGCACAGCTCCTAAAGTCCTGGGTGGCATTCATTTTAATGTATTGTACAGGCCTTGGGATAGGAAAAGCTAACTGGAATACACTATAATACACAACATACAGGCTAACAGAGATGCCCTTGCTATTTAAATTATCCTTATTTCTTGTCATTCTTTCAGAAGTCATTATAACTTACTAAAGGGGAAATGCTCTACTAAACACTTCTCAAGGAGTTTAAATAAATGGCTCATCAACTTATGTGAGCTCAAATGCAAATATTAATGCCACAAAGTATTTAAAAAAAAAAAAAAGAGATAGCATAGACTATTGCAGCAACACCTAGAAGAGAATTAAAAACAACATTTATTTAAAGGTGTAGATAAGAGCTGGGACCACATTAGTGCCCGTCCAAGACACGATGTGATTGTGGCAGTTCCTTTGGTCTTTCTTCCCGATTGATATGGTGGCTGAGTTCAGGCCATACTTACACACAAATAATTTATTAAATCAATTTATTGACGACAACAGGAGTGATGTTCCTCAAGACAAATATAAATAAAACGATTTGTAATGATTAATACATTTGCTCTTTCTATTCCTTCAGGAGTCAGTAAAAATCCTTATTTGGTCTCTGTTTTAGGGAATGGGGAAAGAAAGCCCAAGTCACCAAACCCACTCTCCCCATACTACAGGCAACTATGACACCTGATATTATCTGAACACGGCAAGATCTATCTTAAAACTCAGCTATCCAGTCAATATTTCTTAAGTCTATTTTGTTTCACTATTTGTCTCTGTAGTAGCTTGTTTTCTCTATTTCCAGCAATTGGTGTCAGAGTGCACTGTTAAGACAAAATTGCAGTTATGCTACTAAAAATCAGTTAGACCCCTGTGCATTCCCTCTGGCAGTTCAATTCAGATGCTTTAGCACTGGCCTCCAGATAACTGACAACAAAAGCCCATGTTCATATCAGCTACTCAGTCAAATATGAACAGTGAAGCTGATGACCACACAACACACCTCACCAAGGGGGAGACTCTGAAAAAAGGTTTCATTTTCCCACATAATTTTGTGCTCAGTTACAACTCTCACAGAGAAACACAAACCTAGTCTCTTTCTCTCTCATGTGCACAGAAACAGGTGGGAACCTACCTTAGGTCCTTGTGGCCCTGGAGGCCCTTCTGGGCCAGGAAAGCCTCTAAGACCAGGTGGACCTGGAATGCCAGGGAAGCCTTTTTCACCCTGTAAACGTTAAGAGAAAGCAGTCCTTAAAACACTCTTGAATTATCCTTTTAATAATTTATTTCTAAGGTATTCATTATAAGTTAAGAGGTATGCAAAATATTTGCCTACTACCAGATTACATTATCCCTGACCATACAGACCTGTTCTTGCGGTGCTGTCTATGTGTTGTCTAGGCCATGTGCTACAACCGAAGTAGCATGCTAATAAGCATGGATGAAGATACCAGCAGATGTCTGTACTCACGTTTTTGCAGAGTGCAGAAGTTAACTGGCAGCATGAAAAGTTTATCATGCAGCTGATGTACATTCCTTGTTAACATTTCTAAAATGTGCTTAGCCCATATGAACAACACAAACCTGAATCCAACATGGCACTCCCCATTTGTAGTTGGCAAATTTAATGGTTGCTGCTGTACAGAAGGGTCAGTTCCAAACCATCAGTTCACCTCTTAATGCAAACCACGTAAAGAAACAGTATGAGTCAAACACAACAAAACTGTTCAAATAGAATAAAAAGGCATTTCCTTTAAGAGGCAACTTTTGTGTTCTGAGTCTCAGAGATTAAGCCACTCAATTCCTTTTTATGTCTTTTTAAGGTCAAGTTCAAATAACTAAACCATACAGAGGAAACACAGAAGATTAAAGTTACACAACTGAATACTGGAGGCTAAGCTACAGCTGCAGGAGTATTTGTAGGCTTTTAGTGAAATACAATGAAGACACAAATCTTATCCCGGTGAAAATACAGTGCTTCAAGCTCAGAAGCTCACAGAAAACAGTTTCAGCTCTACAGATAGCAGCAATTCAGAGTGCTCAATTTTATATCAGTGAAGAGCTGCCTGTCCAAGACGTTTTACATCATACAGATGACAGAGAGGATGGGGTTCTCAGTTCTCTTTGATCCAATTTTCCTATGGCTTTATCAGAGGAGAGTTATGCAAAAAAGTATTTGAAATGCTGCTGTGTAAAAATTCTGGTATCTTATTTTTAGATGTACAAGAGAGAGGATTCAAGGGAAGCCTTGGGGAAATGAAAACACCTTGGCTTGTCCCTTCACCAATTCTAGCCCCTTAAAATACCCCAAACTGACTAAATTTAAAAGAGCTTCAGAATTTAAAAAAATATACATATATATAAGCATAGAAGATAATCTCGGAGTATTTGAACACAACTCAAAGATGAGGAGTGCATTATGAAGTATCTGTGAGCTCCGAATTATAAACTGGCGTAGCTGTTTTTTATAACAAGTAGTTCAATTATTTCCTCTAGCACAGTCCAAGGCAAAAAACTCCCCAAAGGCTACACCAAGAACTGCCACTGGAGGGGGTGAGGTACTAACTCACAGAAAAATCAAACCCTTACTTGATCTTCCTCTACAGAGCCTGCTGCCCCCTTACAGCAGCAGCGAGAGTGTTCTCTGTCTAGAGAGCAGCTGTCCGCTCTTTTTTTTTTTTTTTTTTTTTTTTTTTTTTGGACAGATCAGCTATGGTCACGGCCAATTTCTTAACATTCTACAGTTATTAAAAGAAACTGATTAATTTAATTGCCCTGACTTCCCAAAGCTACCTAAAAACCTTTATCAGTGTAAACAATGACTATAACCTTTTAAGTGCTCAGCTGATTTAATGCGCAACTGATGAAGATAAGTTGCTGGTGTCCGTTTTTATGAATGTTTCCCTTTTAGTGGGCAGCTTAAGTTATCTGTTCTAATTTTTCAGTTGGTCCCAACTTACACTGATTAGATCGAAGTCAGGTTAGACCAACTAAGAACATGAAAAATACACATAGATTTTACTAATGACATGAGTATTCTCCTTTCCTACTTATGAAAATATGCTTTAATAATGCATATGTAATTTACTTTTAAAGAACTCTTCTCCACCACTGAAACTGAGCTTTCTACAGGCAAGACTGGGAGTGTTTACCGAGGTGCGATAGGATGTACTCTCTTGGCAGTAAAAGTACAGGAGGAAGATATGAGTAATTCTCTACCAGTCAGATGTATGGATCAGTGGGAGCAATCGCAGCTCTAAGCTTATACAGACATCCTAGTGTGTGCATGGCTGGAACCTATTTTAAGGTTTAGTATGCCAATCACTGTGTCCAGAATTAGCCTGAATTACAGCCATGATTTCTTTAATAATGTCCCTTTCATTTGTGCATCAGTTGTTTTCCAACTACAAGCAAGAGTTTGAAAGAATTTTTGGCATTTGTGTAATTCAGATTTGTTTAAAAGCCACACAGAAGTTCTGCCAAGCTACTATTGGCAACAGGCAGAGCTGCAGCTCTGTTACTTTTGACTTGACGCTGTCCCCTTACTGCTGGCAAGGTGTTTCTGAATAGGATCCAGAAACTCACCTCTTGTCTCGGTTTGCAGGAGACTTATCTGCTTAATACCGGTGCATGTAGCTTCCTTTCAGGATCTAGAAAAGGCTGGGAGCTGTGCAAGATCCAAAGATGGAGAGAGGGAGGCTCTGAACATGACTGTTGACGATAGTATGAAATGTGTAATAGGAAAGCTGCTGCTGGGGTAATGCTGTCTGTGGGTGTTCTGTGTTAAGAGTTCGTAGAAGGGACCTAGTGCTTCACTAGTGCTTCAGATACTTGTTCTGTTGATATTTGAATATCATGCAACACCTTAAACATGAACTAATGCATTTTTAATTAAAAGAAAATTAAATATCTTCCTAGTTGAACAGTGCATCTAGAGTTATTTTAATAGATATTTTGTAAGGTAAGGTATTCCTCTTATAATTCTCCACAGACTCTGTTGACAGAATACCATCACACAACAAATCCACTCACTATGTAAGTTCAACTAATATAGTAACAATTTGCTGGTATAAACTAATCTTAAGAAGGGAAAAAATGTATTTCCTCTTACCTTATTACCTTTCATGCTATCACAAAAGCAGGGATTTTTACCTTTGCACACACAGTTCTGAAAAAGAAAAAACAGAAAATCTATAAGAAAATTCTTTTCATTGTGTTCTTTGGTGGAGGACAAGTTAGATCTCAGAGGCTTTGGTAAGATGTCCGGAGTTTTAAGACCTGCTTGGAGGGCTCAGTGCTGCTCTGCAGCATCCCAACCTCTGTTTGGCTCCGTGACCTCAATTGCCAAAATATGGCACACCTCTTTGGGAGCAACAAGAGTTTGGGAAAATTCAATAACTAAGGATAAAAAGATACAGATTTTATTGTTCACACTGAAGTTCAGCAG